ATGTATATATAAAAAACAGCGGAGCTAAGGAATGGATTATACAGCTTCTCCTTTAATACCGTCCCTATGGAATTTCTTACCTAGAGGGATAGTACCCAGATCCTGGGAGAAACTTAACAATGCAGTTTTGTTCTTTCTTCAGTGCCAGCTGGTACCATGACTCCTTTGTTTCTATTCCCTCCCAGCAAATGGAGCTCTTCCAGACGACCTGCAGCAAGGCCTTTTGCTGGTGGTGGATTATGCAACTTGTTCCAAGCCTAACTGGTGGGGAAGCGTAGTGAAAACCACCATGGTTTGCGCTGGTGGGGACGGAGTCACCTCCAGTTGTAACGTGAGTCCAGAGAACACCACTCTTAGGGCTTGGTTTCAGACACAAACAGGCCCGATGGGAAGGAAAGCTTAAAAAAAACCAAACCCAAGGAGGAACTATTCACACTATGACTGCCATTAACTGTGTTCCCCCTTCCTCCCAGGGGGACTCTGGTGGCCCACTGAACTGCCAAGGTGCTGATGGCAGGTGGGAGGTGCATGGTATCGTCAGCTTTGGCTCTGCTCTTGGCTGCAACTACTACCACAAGCCTTCTGTCTTCACTCGGGTCTCTGCTTACAACAGCTGGATCCAGCAGGTAAGGTTCTAGGTACTTGCTGCTAGAGAATACAGACACTTAGCTATTTCTGAGGTTCTCTCTGATCGACATTTCTGCCACCTACGCAGCGAGCCGTATCACTTTTGATTCAAATGCTACTTTACATACAAGTAACCTCTGTAGACAAGCCCTTATCAGTGCAAAAGAAGTCTCTGCAGGAAAAATAAAGTATCCTCCTCTTAAATAGTTATCCAGATTCTTTTCACTTTTAAGTAAGTCTCGATGTTTAGGAATGCATTCTGCCTTTATACTAGAGCTATATTTATAGTCATAAGGATTTTACTGGTATGACTTCAGAAGCGATTACTCAAATTTGTATTCATCAATAACACTGATTGTTGCAATTGCATCCTAGAAGGCAGCGCATGCTGCTCAAGCCTAGAACATCAATTATTTTTTAATTTAAGATAAACTTTAATCTAAAAAGTGACTGAGAAGCAAAAATCTTATTTCAGTTATTTAAATCCTGCATCTTAGATGCAACATCTACTACTCACAAATTGTCATATGTCTCATGATCTGATTTTTCACTTGTTTTACATTTTTGTAGGTTATTGCAACCAACTAATCCAAAGAGAACTGGGATGATAGGTGCCGGAAAGGAAAACAGTTTGAATAAAGTCATAAACATAACACCTTCGATCACAAAGAGCTGGGAAATTATGCTTTTAACACCACAAGTATTATACCTAACCATACGGCAATAAACACTATTTTTCGCAAGATGAAAAAAAATGTGTCCCTGTCACTTCTTCCTGCGTACTGTCAGGAGCACGGCCTGTATTTAATGATAGTGCTGGAGATCTCTTGCAGCCTTTCCCCTGCCTTGGGCTGGAGCTTGCTACCCTCACCTGGGGGAAGATGTGAGCCTGCTGTGAAGAGGCTGGGCAGTAGGAAGAGTCAGAGCCACAGGAACAACTCCGGGGGTAGGGGGTGAGAGAGCGAGGCGCTGGCAGGGCTGAAGGCAGCAGGCAGGCAGCTGTCGGGACCCCCGACTCTGCAAGCGGGACTCACCAGAGCAAGCAGTGGCAATGCCCAGCGGGAAGGCAGCACGGGTGCAAGGAGGTCCACGCAGGTGAGTGTGGCAGCGCTGCAAAATGCTTTTACAGAGAGGTTTTTAACATCCTGTGATCTTGGGACTTAGCAAGGGGAAGGGTAAAATCCTGCAGTGAGTGCCGGCAGCGTCTCTGCAGGCTTATCTCCTTCATGTCCCCGTTACTCATTTTTAAGTCATTCAGATGCCAGTTGAAGACCTCTGAACTGTCACTGTTGGCTGACACACAGACACAAATGGGGATTTTTTTGCAAAGCACAAGCAGAATCACCACCTTTTAGCCTAGTACTACATTAAAGCCCCTATTTATATTTCTTTCATTGTAATAAAAGGTAGGCAGTATAAAATCAAGGTGGATTTTTGTTGTATTTTTCTTTTCCCTCCTGGCACATATTTGGGTAGATTCAAAAGTAAAATGATTGATTAAAAACCGAGGACAAGTGACTCAAAGGTAAGCAGTAGATAGAGTACAGAAAAGATTGGAAGTTTGTTGTGAGAACAGAAATGCATCTGGGTTCAGAGATAAATTTTTCTAGGTTTGCGGTTCCTTTCAGTCAGACATTTTGCAGTTGTTACCTTTGGATTGAAAGTAAATAAACATGTATATTATTAAACATAAATTGTATTAAATAAATAAGAGAAAACATGGCTGTTTATCATCTTCGGGGACTGTACTTTTATTACGTTTCTTCTACTTTACAACCATCGAGCACTATTATGCTGCGAAGAGCCCAGCAGGAACTTGTTTTGCCTAATATCAGCCTCTGCTGAGAAATGGCAGGCTTTATTGGGTTTTTATTTATCGTACTAAAAATGTAATTTCACCTATTGGAAAGAGCAGGGGATCTGAGGAGGGCTTTTTTCAGTCGGCTCTATTACATTGAGGAAAAGAAAAGAAAAAAAGGACTGAACTGAATGGACTGATCAGCAACCCAGTCCCCTGGTTTGTTCTTTATGAGTGGAAATAAGGGTTGCCCAGTTATTCAGGAGCCACCAGTTTCAGCATAACATGCTGAGTTGTCTTCATGAGTATCATTAACGTAAAATTGTAAATCACTAATAGTTCGGAAAACGAAAATTGTTAGAGGTTACTTTGCTGTATGGAGCATGGACATCAATTATGTGCAGCATGAAAGAGAGGACAGAAAAGGTAATCGTGCAACTCAAACAGTAAAAATTGGATATGTATATGCTTCTGTAAAAACTGAAGCAAAACTGAAATTTTATTTGTTTTCCTTTTGAAAAATTTAGACAATATTGTGGAAATGTCTGAGCTCATTTGAATATATCAATACAAATGATTAATCATCTGAAAATTCCTATTAAGAACAAATTCTAGAAGTTTGATTAAGAAAATTTAACAGCTCCTGTTTGTGATCACTGAAATAAGTAACCCATCTTTTCATGGCCTTCTTTAAGATTTGGATAGAAGTACCACAGAGAATACAACCTGCAGCAAATTATTTTATCAGTCTTAATACTCACAGAAAAACTGTATGATTTCATTCATATGTTTTTGCAGCCCTGAGTGTGTCATTGAAACAGCCTCTTTACTACACCTTTTCTTATAAAATAAAATGTCAGGTGGAACAAAATGTAACAAAATATGTCTTTCAATAACATTCAGCTAATGCACGATCCCTGTACTTTGTTTCAGAACGCATGTGAATTGTTAAATATCACTACTGCTCCAGTTATGTTTTCAGGAGCTGCAAGAAACACCCCAGGGATCAGACACCCCCACTCTTTTTTTTTTTTTTTTTTCCCCTTCCCTTTTTTCAGATGTTCTCCCCCCTCCAGTGCTGGTGGTAGAAAAACAGTTCGAAGGATTTTGACAGCATGCATGGTCTCCCTCTGCAGCCTCCTTGGAGCCATTTCCTTTGATTTGAGCAACAGCTTGGAAATATGGAGAAACACAGGGAAAGCCCTTCAGGAACTTGTCTCCTGTGAAAACCTTTGGGCTGTTCGCTTCATCTATCTCCTGCAGGAAGAAAGGCACAGCTGGCTATTCCCAGCAGCAGACAAGAGGAAGACATCATTTCATGCTCAGCTATTGGGGAATTTAAACTCCCTCTGTAAGGCAAGTGAAGCAGAACTGTATTGTGAGAATTGCCAATGCAAGAAGAAGAAAATCTCCATTTGTAGACCTTACATCGTTGACATGAGAGAAAAATTAAATAGCACAGGGGATACTGAAGCCAGCCAGGCGCTATCCAGAGTGATCTCTGAACTGCTGGAGCATTTTAATAGTTCCCACAAAGACCTCAAAGCTATGAGATACAATCCTGACTGGGCAGACATAGTAGCTTTTAAACTCACCCTTCAAATAAGAGAAGCCATGCTTAAAGCTCATTTAATGCCAGCATCTACAAGCTTTCAAACAACATTGCATCATTTTTTTGCCATTCTGAACTATGCTATCTTCTCATCAGAGAGTGTACGTAAGTGCTGGATGGATAACGTCAATCTATCGCTTCATTTCACCCACTATGAAGGAATCTCTTTTTTCATCCCATTCCTGGGCTCAGATGAATTTGTGTCCATTGAAGCCTTGGTAAAGGGACTCCATTATGTACAGAGCTGTCTACTGCAGAAGGGACAGGAAAAGCTCAGCAAGAAATCTAAAGAAATCCTGTCCACAATGAGCCTTAAGATCGGTCTGTTAGTGACAGCCTGCCTCATTTACCCCATAACCCTGATGTCCTTCAAGCAAATGACAGATTGGATACACAATTATGCCAGGAACCTCAAGGAAAAGACAGAGGACTTGAAAAGGGAGAGGAGGCTAGCTGAGGACCTCTTACACCAGATGTTGCCAAAATCTGTTGCCAAGCAGCTAAGGAAATGCCAAAAAGTTGAGGCAGAAAGCTATGATCAGGTTAGCAAACAGAAAGGATGCTGTCACCAAGGGCAGAAAAGTATTCACCTAAAAAAGCACCTACCTTGCCACCATTTTGAGGAACCTGGTCTTGCACCCATAGTTGAGTGTGGATGGAAATCCAAATATTCACGATGGGTTTTGGTAAGAGCTGTGCAATGTGCCATGAAGCACTTAAGCTGGTGGGGAAGGAAGAAGAGCTGAAATTTCCAGAAGCGTAGCTTTAGATGTGAAAGATCCTACACTGGCAAGTTGTCATCTTTGGGTTTAAGAGCCTACTCATGAGAGCCAGCCAGCATCACTAGATCACAAGTACATAAGAGCAAGAACGGCATTTCCTCCTTGTTAAATGGGAAGAATCACAAAAAAACCAACGTAGAACAAATCCTGTCTGTACTTGTCAGTATGATTCCATAAATATAACTGAAAGGAGAGCACGGGACTTAGAGAAGGATGAGAGGGATGGATGATTTCGTAGCCTCAAGTGTGTAACCGTAATGAAGCCTGTTGACATAAAAAACAAGGACAGAGTTTGGCCAGGCACCCATTTATTTGCAGCTCTGCCTCACAGCACACATGCTGCTGTCAATGCTGAATTTAGCAGCTGTGCTACACAGCCCACAGCCAGAATCCTTATGCTAAAGTAATTGCAATCCTATTCACTCTTTTTCCCCTGGACGCTCTATTACTTTCAGTTGTGAAACACAATAATAAATGATTGCATTTAATTTGTAGGTGTCATTATCGAAACAGCAACCTGTAATTGCACAATTAATTATAATTCACAATAGTCATGACATCAAAAGTAGCTGAACCGAGGCAGGGAGTGAAAAGGTGGTAATCTTCTGGATTAATTGGTATTCCCAAGGACAAATAAAAGAACAATTTTAGTTTAAACACTGACAAAGTTCAGGCAACACAGAGAAGAAACACTTAATTCTTTGCCAACAGCTGTAACACACATTTCCCTTCCTTAATTCAGTTATTATGGTTTCTGTTTCTTTCTTTTATAAATTTGATTTTTTTTAAAGTTAATTTCTCTGTAAATTACTTCAGCATAACAAAGATAAACATCATTTGAAGAGAAACAAAATCCAGTTAATGTTTCCTAATTCAACAAGAGCAGACAGCTACTGAGTTTTTATTTCGCAGTTTGTTCAGACACCTAGTTTTGATCTCTACCACAGTTTAAATCACTTTAAAAGAAAAATCAGGCCCTGCTTCTGTAAGAAGTCTACTGATCACTACTCGCAAGATTCAAAGCATTTGACTTCCAGTCTCCCATCTAGCACAAGGTATTCAGAGAAGCGCAGATGATAAACTTTGGAGATAAACATAATTTTGTCTGTCAAAGTAATAGAGAACAATTCAGAGCCAGAGCTTGTTAATTTAGGATCGTATCTATTCAGTTCTGCAACACTAGTTCTACATGCAGCCTGTGCCTTAGGCTGTTCTGCTCAGAATTTCATAAATCCCCAAACTCTTCAAAGGCTCTGCCACTGCTGCCTGGAGACCTTAGCTTCATACTTTCCTTCTCCCTGTGACAGGTGACCATCTTTTTCTCGGACATCGTGGGGTTCACAAGCATTGCTGCCTCCTGTACTCCCTTGCAAGTTGTTGAGATGCTCAACAATCTGTACATCTGCTTTGACAGCAGGATTGAGTCTTACGATGTTTACAAGGTGAGTACAAACCTGCAGGCAAGGAATCTGGAAGTTGCTGCAATCTTTCTTACTTTGTTCTCTAGTGAATATCAAATACACCAGATCAGCTGGCCAAAAGCCATGAAATCCAAGACCTGCCACTGCACAGGGACTACACTGCAGCTTGGCAAGTGGAGGACAGCTAAGATATATTTTATTCTGATTTCCTTTTGAAAGAAAAGCTTGGTGCCTGCCACTTAGTGACACATGCTCCTTCCCATCAGGTGGAAACCATTGGTGATGCCTACATGGTAGTGAGCGGCCTGCCAGAGAGGAATGGCACCAAACATGCTGATGAGATTGCCAAAATGTCTCTGGATCTGGTGGCAGCAGTTCATCAGGTTGTGATCCCTCATATGCCAATGGGCAAACTGCAGCTGCGGGCTGGGATACACACAGGTATGTGGGTGAGGTGGAGGCACGAGAAAAAGAGAATAGGACACAGTCTAAACTGCGTGAGGAGAAAAGAATTCGGCATTTCTGTGCAAGCCATTGACGCTCCACAGGGCTCCGGGATGAGTATTTCTCCTGATTCCACCAGTAACGTGACTTTTGCTTGCATCAGCGTGGAAAGGGCTGTGAAACAATTTAGTGTTGGCAAAGTGCATCTTCCCCTGATATCAGCACCAATTAGCTACAGCTAATCAAATTGTGACTTCCCTCCTTAAGTAAATACTGTGCAGCCAAGCCCTAGATGCACTGAATATTCCCAATGCTCTCTGAGGATCCAGAGTGACTAGCAAAGGTGTCTGCATTTGGCATCTCCCTGCACTTTTTCCACTTGTTTCTTATTGCGGTCTCTCTGCCTTGTATTTTCGCAGGACCCTGTGTAGCTGGAGTTGTGGGGTACAAAATGCCTCGGTATTGCCTTTTTGGGGACACCGTAAACACAGCCTCCCGCATGGAGTCCACCAGCTTGCGTAAGTGACTCGGGCACAGTCTGTGTGTTCCTTACACACCAGTCAGGCTCACACCTGCACTCTGTGTCTCTTAGGTACTGCAGTGAAAGGAAAACCCCTATTATCCCCTCACATTGGAAATGGTCAAGTGTGAAGTAAGGTTCATACCGGAGAAGGAGCACTCTCTGCAGCACATCCCAGACTAGAGAACTAATTACCATAGATATTAAGAACCAGCCTATGCATGACCTGCAGTCCCCACTATCCCAGCACATACACTAGTTATCAAATAAGCAAGAGAAAGTCTTGTGGATTCATGTGGGCAAGTAGAGTCACATGCCTTATGCCATTTCTGGAAAGCAATTGGAAATAAGATGAGAAAGAGGGTGACAAAAGCCAAATAGCACAAAGTAAGCTGACTTTGATTTTGAGGACTTTAACACAAAGGCATTAGGTAGCAACACCATGACAACATAGAAGAGGGCAGTGCATGTTTTCTTGGTCCATCCTTTTACGCTGCCTTTGCTACCAATACCACCTATTTTTACTGCTGTACAGTGCGGCTGTGCAGATACCCAGTGCAGCACTGCACAGTCACGTCAGTGAGCCAGTTAACCTGCTGAACTGCTGCTATGTTTCAGCCAACACCTGTGTACAGTGTTACAGAGTCCTCAACCAATGTTTCAGGCATCCTCCCTTTTTTTGTGCTTCTTCCTCAACATGACATTTTCCAAAGAGGAGGTAGAAACACTGGGCTGATAAATGCAGGAGGGCTGGTGTGTCGTCTCTAGGAATAGGGGAATCATTAATTTCTAATGCTCTGTTCCGAATCCTAGCGCAGAAGATCCATATCAGTTCTGCTACCTATGATGTCCTTCTCACAGATGATGCATATGAAATTGAACCGAGAGGAGAAATTGAAGTGAAGGTAACAGCTTTTCCGTAACTTTGCAACAGTAAAGGAGTTTAATGAGATAGGAAAGAGATATAATAGATTTGGCCATTGCCCTTCTGTGAATTGCAAGTAAATTTTTAACTGTGGCCCCAAGGTTCTCTTGCTAATTCAGCTGGAAGTGGCTATACATTACTCCTCCTAATCGATGCAAAAGTGTTAGTGTGTGCTTTGAAATACAGCTGCTATATCTGCACCTGCATGGAACCACATGAATGTGGGTGAAAGCGTTAGGACTCAGTTACAAAGACACACAGGTATAAGGCTGATTTTAAATGCTTAGCAGTACTGCCAGTGACCAGCAAGGCCTTTTTCTGAACTGAAAGAATTGTTAGCACCCAAAGTGCATATAAATTACAATTCTTTCCCAAATCAGCAGCCACTTATGAGAGAAGGAGAAATAACAAATGCAGTACAGGTAGTAGCCCTGGCCATAGTGATTCTCTTGCTCTGCTTCATATCCCATGAAAATAGCTGTTTTCTGCTCTCTCCTTTTTCTTGTCCCAGGGCAAAGGGAAAATGAAAACCTACTGGCTTCTTGGTAACAAGAACTACAGTGTCCAAAATGACAGCCTGGTGTGTCACTGGAATCCAGCAATCTCCAAGAAAAAGAAGATGGAAAGTGGCCAGGGATCTGTCCAACAGGTAAGGAGGTGAACATTTAGCAGGGTGAGACTTCCTAGATAATGAGCCATTCACTAAGGACTAAGACATGAAGAACTTGCATCTTTGTCCTGTAAGTAGAGGTCTCTGCTGTGTGCAAACACAAGCTCTAATGTGTGTTCCTCTCTCTCAACAGTGTAGTGCAGGCACTGTGGGAGCAGCACTGGCTGAGCCTAACACTGCGATGCCCTGGGATGAGCTGAGCCCTGACAGTCACACTCAAGGGAGTTCCAGACCAGCCTGGACCCCCGAGAGTGCCACCCATGGTGCGAGCCAGAAGCAGAGGAATGGCTTTCATCAAAGCTCCCAGCAGAGCCTCCGGGAGAACCTCACTTCATTGGGCTCGCCTGCTTTGGGGGATGGTGACAAAGGTGCCAGTTTAGAACACAGGGCACAGCTTGGAGACCATGTTATTAAAGCAATGCGGAAAAATGACTTTCTCCCGGGTTTTGTAGATGAGATGTGACAGGATAAGAAATGACTGGACTGCCCCAGGTACACACATTTCTTTTAAAAAACACTCTCTTTTTGTTCTTAGCCATAATTCACATTTTAAACTAGTATGTTTACTTGGGAACCTAAAACACCAACAGAAATTTAGAAAGGTGTCTCTAAACAAGGAGAAGCTACAAAAGTGCAGGTGGAGCTCCATCAGGAGCACCAATGGTAGATAAAAGATGTACAGCAATGTGACTCCTTTCACTCTGGTAAAGCTATTGTAGATTTATATTTGTAGACGACACAGAATCTAACCATCAAAGTCCAGACACAGTGAGGACACTTTCAGAACCTAAGCCAGGTTATTTCAAGCTAGCCTGTACATCTCTTCAGTAACCTATCGCTTGCAAGGCATATATAACTGCAGATAGTAGGAGAGGAAGTAGTGAGACCCTGATGGAGAAGAGGACAGATAAATAAGTCTTTTTATCATTGTTTCAGAGATACAAATTAAGAGGGAACAATTTTAAATTACTTCTGTTAAGTTTCTGCAGCACTTTGTCTTTCCAGCTCTTCTCCACTACAGAAGAATCTCCTCTCCATATGTGTATTTTTACCCTTATCCAGTCACCAAGGGATTAGATGGCGAGACAAAGATGTAGTCTAGCTGTATGGAAGACATTATAAGGACAAGGCATTTCTCCCATCAAATTGTAATTTGCTTTTCTTTCCGTGCTGGAGGAAAAGACACCTCTGCAGTGATGAGCAGAGCACAGTAAATTCCACTTCTATGTATGACTCAGAGAAATCAAAGCAAACTGAATTACTTCCTGACATTGACAATTAGCAACTCTACACAGAGTTCAATTCATTTGTAAGTGGGTTGCACGTATCATTAACCCCATCCTGCTAGCCGCTGCCTTTGAGCAATTCCAGAGCGAGGGAACCATTCTGATGGGAACAGAAGCACAAGTTGGGGGGAGAGGGTTTGGCCTGTCTCCTCTCCCAATCAACAGGTTTGTGTAAAGCACTACTACTGCGTAAGAGAAAGATCTTAGCAGATTTAAGTTCTTTTTAAGGGAGGCAAGGCAGTGCTTAATGGTTGCAAAAGGCAACAAAAATAAAGGTATGTATTTAAGAGGAAGTCAAACTTGGAAAGCTACAATGGTCTTTAATTTTTTTCTTTTGCTAAAATAAAAGTAGCTTTATGAACTTCAAAGGAAGCTGTTCAGGGTATCTCTTTGTCATTCACTTGGCTAATAAGAACAACTGAAAAACCTCACCTAAGTTGTCTCCTTACGGAATGAAAGCCAAGAGCTGCTCCTTTCAGTCAGCTCACAGAAAGTCACTGTAGGAGCGTCTGGATGGCTGCATGTAAAGCAAGCTTAGCCTGAGGTGATGAGGTCAACTTGCTCTCAAGGGCTGGGGATCTCTGAAGGTCAGCTAAAGAACTATTTGGTCTTGCAGATAAGTGAGCCAAAATTGGAGGCCGAAATATTCACGATAAATGTAATATGCATGTTTCTACATGAAACAGAATGAACCACAAGTCTTATGAGTCAAGAACAGGTGTTGTTCTAAAAATATATTTACCAGTTCAAGCAAGAATTATTTCAAGCAAATTCAGTGGTTCAACTCACACAGGGTTTTGCCTCAATCATCACAATGGTCACTCCAGTCTCACAACTTGCAAAAAACCTAACAAGATATTTTGCCCATCTCAAGCACAACTTCCCATCTTCCCAGATCTCAGAACTTTTCTACATGGAATATTTACATGGGTGCAAATACAATTTCATTTCTGTTAAAAGATATCTGCAAGCATGTGATTAAGATTTTCCCATTAAGGTAGCTGGTAAGTTGTTCTGATACTTTCACACCCAAGAAAACAAATGTAAATCATATTACAGCAAGCTGCATCACAGAAAGCCATGAGGAATACAAATCAAACACTTCAAAAAAAAACCCCTCTTTTTAAAGTCACCCTCTTGCATCCAAGGGGATGATGGTGTGTTGGGTTTTTTTAAATGCTTGATGATGGTATTATTGGAGATGTGTGGAAGCTGCACAGGCATGCTCACACAGCGTTAAACAAATGCACAATCGCATGTACTCAAAAACACATATATAAATCTAATCCAGGCTGATGTCCACTAAGGATACTGAAAGGCTGGAATCCTTTCATCTGGTTCCTGTCAGTACACAGCAAATGGGATCAAAAGTGAAAAAACCCAACCCAAAAAAAACCCCAAAAAACAGGAAAGGGGGGACAGAGATAAATGGTGCTGAAGAGCGATGACTTTCAAGTCAGCAAAGGAAAATGTCTCAGGTGCACATATCGCCTCACAAGCAGGCATGAAAGGAACATCACTGGGGAGAGGGAGAGGGACAGCTGGGTACCGCAGGGCAGTTCAGAGCCACAGGAGCCCCACACTGTCTCTAATTGTTATGAAAATCCTGGGTCAAGATCAGAGGCAAATTATTTGCATGGAAAATTGAGCCTGTTCTGATCTTCATCTCTTCAGAGGCTTCAGTGTGGATTTTTAATTTAGAAAATAGTAGAAAATAGCCCTGTGTGCTTGATGATAGATGGCAATTAGTGTTTATTAACAAAACGTGCTTTGGTTCAACTCTGAGCAATCCCTCTCCAGAGAGGAAGGAAGAAGTGATGAGCTCATGCCTTCTACGCATATGGCTGATGCTTTGATATGATGGCTTGGTTTCCAAAGATTTTTGGGTTGCCTACGCCTAACATACAAGAAGGCTTGGAGTGGGTTAAGGCTGAGGCTGTACCAGGTTGGCTGGCCTAACTCTGAGACTGACTTTTGGTAAAGATGAAACATTTTCTGGACCGAAAACCTGGGTCTGGATCAGACTAACACAGAGTCTCAAGTTTACTCTATCATGGGGTAGTGGATTTCAACCTAGTCAACAGCACAGAGATATACCTTTGACTAAACAGATCCTGTAGGGACAAAAACAGTTTCCTTTTTTGAGTTTGACATATGAAATCAGTTTCTCCAGCCTTCCCTGAGTATCACTCAAAGGCAACACCCCATTTCCATAAAGATCATATGGATTATTTTAGCCATCATGCACCAGTCATACTGCTGAGTTACCTGGTATGCAGAGTCTGGAAAATAAGCTGTTGCAGTCCTCTCAGCAGGTCTACAAACAGGACTCTCTGCTTCCCCCTTCAGCCAGCCTGTTCACATTGGAATTCCCACAAGGCCAGAGCAGGGCGGTACAATAATCAGCATTTTCCTAGACCGAACGCCAGGTGTCATTACAGGCCCGCCTGATGAATAGCGCATTCATAGTCCTTTAAGCGTCCTTTTGGGCTGCCAAGACTGGACTCTAGTCCCACGCACACTTTGTCACAAGCAGCGAAAGGAGCAGAGGGAATGTCATTGAGTTGCCACAGCATTTTCCTCTTGAGATGGAGAAGGACAGAGAAGCTGGAAGGGCAAAACAAGTCTTAAAGACAAGGCATTAAATGGCAACATGCCCTTGAAACCAGAGAGGGGGTAAAAAGGGAGGCAGATAAATAAGATTAAATAGAAAAGGAGTCCATATCCTGGAGTACTTTTCAGCTTCTAGCTGGTCCTGATTCCCAAACCCACTCTGACAACGACTGGTCCCTACTCTCACATATTCCAGGACAGTTGGGATGATCTCTATGGCCCAGATGCAGAAATGGAAGCAAAAAAAAAAAAATCAAGGCTGAGCACTTGACTCTGCTAACAACTTGTTCAATGACCTCCAGTAAGTTACCTAACCTATGGGCTCTGCACTGCTTTTCAGGGTGTTAAGTTTGTTATTAAAGACATGTCAAAATGAGAGGATGGTGGGAAGCTGAAAACAAAAACAGTTCATTGAAATTAATCAGTTTGACAAAGGTCTTGCCAGTGACATTTCAAAGATCCTGGATGATACTGCCAGAGAAAGAGAGCAAAAGCTATCCCAGACTGTGCAGTAGTTGGGGTAATTCAGTTGCTCACCTGGAATGGAGAAGTTCTGTCCCCCAGGTCCCTTCTGCCCCTCCATTAATGTGCTGGCACACTCCCAGCTCCTGCTGGGATGCTCAGCACATGAAGCCCTACTGCCACTTTTGTTCTCATCCATTAAAGCCCAGCTGGAGCCAGGTGCCAGGTGTTTGGCCTTTAGAGTATTCAGTAACACCAACCCCTTTGCACTCACCTTACATGAGCCAACAGTATTTTTAGGCCTCAGCTGAATGATGGCAAGCTGGGAAGCTCCCCTGGCTAATAGTCTTGCACCCTGCAGATGCTAGGCCATACCCAATGACCCTGGTAAACCCCAGCGTAACAGCCTTGGGGGCTATTGTTCTCCGTCTCATGTGCCTGCTTTCAGTACTGCTCAGAAAGGGCCCCGTGGACAAATCAGCCCAGGATCCAGTTGGATCCCCAAGGGCTTTGTGCCTTTCCCTATTTATCCTTCAGGACATGGTGCACTGGAGACTGCAGGGAGTCCATTAGCTGATCAACTGACCTGCAGATATAAGGAGCTGCTTAATTAGCAGGTCTAGAGGAACATAAGGGGGAGGGGGGTGTGTCACTCCCAAGGGAGCAACATAAAAACAACAGCTGCCTGAAAACATTTTTTCCTTTCCTATTTAGAGAGTTCTTTAAAGACATGGCTTTTTACTCTCTGCTAATTAAAACCAGCAGTTCAGGCTTGCATTGATCCTTCAGTAAAAGAGCCCACATATTCAAGCTCATGGAAACAGCAAAAGGCAGGAGCATAAAAGCCCAGTGATTTTGTGCTCCTTGTCCTCATCTCACAGTAATTCCTAATTCTTCTATAAGTGCTTTTTACTTGTTCTCAAAGCAGGTCACTGCTGCACATGCCCTTCAAGGACAGCATGGACGGATATGAACTGACTTTGCTATGGGATCAGAACCACAGTTTATTGACTCCTAGGCCAGTGCTCATCTAGTTAGGCCCCAAAAAGAAAGGATGGTGATTAGAGCAATTGTCCTAGGCAAACCACAGAGGACACCAAGT